TATAAGGCATGAGAACCAGGAACTAGAGCCTGGTTAAGCTTTTAGGCTTCTAGCAGCAGTTCAGCTAAGATTCATTCTGAATGAGGACTCAGAGGCTTCCATTCTGAGGAAACAGGATCAGCTGAGGAACTGGAGAGGTGAGGTAGCTGTGGCTTGTTCTGCTTCTCTGATCTTCCAGCATTCACCCCAATACCTGGCACTGGGTTTGTTTTTATTAACAAGACCTGTTAAGATTCGTGCTACAGCTGAGGAAGGGGACATCAGGTAATGGAAGCTGGGCTGTGACAGTGCCTGTAAAACCAACATTTGGAAGGCTGAGGCAGGAGGATTGCTGTGAGTTCACAGCCAGCCGAGGCTATAGAGAGACCCTGTAAGAAAGACAAATGCCCTGTGTCTGCAGCTCGTGCAGGGGTCTTCTGCCGCACTGGCCCAGACCCACCTCACCAGCTCTCATGCTCTGACAGGGCAGCACTCAGTCCTCGCCATCTAGACACGGAGGACCAGCGTCAACACACAGCACGTGGTCCTCCAGACGGTCCTCCACTGCACAGAGGGAAACAGGTCCGTCCAAGACTGGCCTGCTGGGTCACCAGCAGAAAGGCGCTGTGGCACAACCGGAAAAACCAGCTCTGAGCGGCGGGCCTTGCAGGCTCTGCCAGAAGCAGGCTGCCAGGCTGGGCTGGGAGTCTGGGAACGGCCTCGCTGAGACTGTGAGCGCCTTCCTGGCCGAACGCTGCTCCCATAATTAAAGCAAGCTAAATGATTGGGTGTCGCTGTCCTCTCCTTTCTCCTGTTTGTTCTGGAGGACAGACAGATAGACGCAGCATGCAGGGCAGCCACAGAGGCAGCGGAGCGAAGGGGTGGGGCTGGGTAAGGCACCCAGAAGCAGAGCACTTGCCTAGCACATGGGAGGCCCTGGGTTCGATGCCCGGTACCACACAGGGACGCCCATGCACACACACTAAATAAATAAATCAAATTCAGAAGAGGGGCTAAGGCGAAGGCCTGTGGGGGAAGTCCTCGACACACAAGAGCGAGAACCATTTGGAATTTCATTGTCTGCTGCCTCCCTGACACTGGAGCCACAGAAGACCTAAACCTAGGGTCAATGCCACTGTGCATAAAAATTCAAAGGAATGCCAGGGCTGGGCAGAGAAAGTGAGAACGAGGGAAACAATAGTGAGGGCCAGTCATCACGAGAGCCTACTCACAGCCTTACAGACACTCGGGCCCATGGTTTCCAGAACTCTTAATTGCCTAAAATAATTCATACACCCGCAACAACAATAGTCTTCTAAACCTGGTATTACAGTGTGTGCCTATAACCCCAGACCCAGGAAGGCAACTCAGGGAATCCCTGTCTCAGAAAAATAATACCAAAGAAACAAAAACTCCTTATTTTTAAACACGGATGAAAACATTAAAATTTCCAATGGTTCATAAATGCATAATGTCCCCTACAGAGATATGGTGGGTGTAGATGTAAGTGCAGCTCCTGAAATGAGCACGCACTTGCTTCATGAGGCCCCGCTCCTTTCAGCCTTGCCGGAAATCATTCCCCCAACTGCTGCTGTGATGTTCTGTCTTTTGCAGTCCGCGCACAGTAAAATCAGCAATATTCTAAAGGATCCCCTCCGACTCTGCGGACGTGA